ATGATTCATGAAGTTGGTTCTACAGTCCAATATATATGCAAGTATCGCAAAGCAAACCGTAATATTGTTTTATGAGCGGTCGTCAGGCCTCAATATCACGCTTTCACTCCTACTTAGTTGCATCAGCACCTGCTACAATTATCTGATTATAAAAATGGTCTCCAATTACTGCACCACCTTAAGCCAAGACGAGTTGCCTAGCAAACGTTTTGTAACATGTGTGTCTAGACCATTTGAGCTTCTGAGTAGAGATATGCACAACGACAATAGGACGAATTTCACGTGCTCCTGGAAGTATATAAGCGAATCTACTATGCAAAAACAAATGTTTCTGTTTGCACCAATTTAAATCAAGTGCTGCCTGAAGATCGACATTTTTACGTTTTGCTTACACTTCACCTAAACAAGTGCTTTAAACCACATCTGATAAAATTTGTTTTGATCAAGCTAAGATCGAATAGCAAGCTGTGGAGCTCTCCTTTTAATATACGTAATAAAGTTTGGATAAAAACCGAATGTGCAAACACATATCAACATCAGTCACTAAAGTAATGAGTACGATGCTATTAATTTCTTCGCTTACCGAGTACAGCATAATCGGGAGTCATGATCAGCGTTTGCTTTGGAGATTCCAAAATTTGCTTATGGGATTCGTTATTCATTCCCCACCTTTTTGTTAACAAGCCCCCACTCCTCCAATTAGAGCCTCTTATTGGCCAGAAGGCAATTCAAAATTAAACATTTAACGTTTTCTGAGCAACGGCCACCTTGCACTTCCAATTCAACCACCTTTCCCTTCATTTAAAATTCAAAGAACAGCCTCGCACCCTATAGCAACTTGCATACCCTTTCCTTAAAGAGACAAGAGATGCAACTGTTTCCCATGCGCAGCTGGTAGGCCTTGTTTAAATGTCAAATGCAAGAAGGATCGGCAATAAAGAGGATGGTGATGCAAAATCTGTAATTGTTACCCGCTCACAGTTAACCCCCACCCTCCTTTATATGCAAATGGGCCAGGTATCGCTAGCGTGTGCCTTCTAGCCTTAGCACTACCGACCCCAGTGGCCGAGTGGTAGACCGCTGGAACTGGGACCGAGGAGGTACCTGGATCGATACTCGGAGGGGGTTCGATTACAGGGCGCCGGAGATAGGCTGATATAGTAGACGAGCAACTACGCAGAAGTGGCCGCCCTGCCAACCCGCGCAAAGCGTGGATAGTTGGGTGGGCTGGAGGCCCTACTGGCAGAAAAGCCCCAGAGTGTAATGAAGGGTGCGGGTCCTGTAAGGAGTTCAAACTGAGTCAGAGTACTCGCAGATCATTCCAGAGTGATCCGAAGGACTGCGCGGCATCAATCTCTCTAGCCGTAGCACTGGCTGTTTGTTAACTTCTAGTATACAATCAGATAAGCTGAAGGTTGGCTGGTACAAGTTGCCAAAGGAGAACATCTACACGACTCTTTCACCCACCCGTCTATCCATCCGCACGGGTGCACTTTTACACGGGAAGCTAGGCAAGAAGTCTAAGCGAGGACATGTGGTCGTGTTACACCCGGGCGCATCGTCAACTTACTGCGGCTGATCAAATATTCCTTGTTCGCTGCTTAAGACAACTGTAATCCTGTGTCACTTAAAAAGCAAAATGCTTCTGTCATACCGCTTCCCGATCAGCTCTATTGGAACATATTTAGCAGTAAATGACCACTCCTTTCAGGTTGTCCAGCAACAGCATCTTACTCATCTGCTAGTTATCACCCGCTCAGCAAAAGAGATTTGCCCAAAGTACAGTACTAGTCAGGTGTAATTGACCAATTTGAACTACAATACCAGCGAATGTGGACCCTTTCATCCTTGATATCGTTGGCAAAATAGCAAAAAAAAACTGTACTGTTAGTCTGAGCTTACTGTTTTTATGCGGAACGAGGTGTGATAAAGCATGTTTTTTGGAAATACTTGTGCATTTAGACCTATGCTGACGCCTGGACCCGGATGGACGACTAACGGATAGATTACTCCGGACTATGTGTCGTTTCTCGTTCCTTCGCTCCTTGCGTACCCGTCGGAAGGCGGAATGCACTCTTCCAGGTGACTCGAGGTCAACGTATGTCTTGACCGGGTTGGGGATAGGTTAGGTATGGTAGCGTAAAAACCCTTCACACGACCAACGGTTATTTGTCACGCTCTCCCAGATTCGCCCTGATTTGAGGTCACCTTGTCAAATGTGAATACTTGATTCCTTCGTTCTTTTGGTCACTTAATTCTCTTGTTATTCTGACCACTTGACCCCCTTGTTTTAATGATCACTTGAGCCGTCTTGAAGACCTTGCCTGTATGTGCTTGCCGCGTCCAATCGCAGGCTAACTTAAATGAGTATCTTTGCTCCCAGACAAGCAATCTAGGGACAGAAAACCTTGAGCAAACACGTATAAAAGTAAACATTGAACATCGGGTGGCCACTAGCATTCCAGACCAGGGAGAGGCTGACGTGTGTCTTTTGTAGACAATCAATACTGTTCGTTATTAACCTATTAGAAGCTAGAACTACGCTTATGCCTCTCTATGGCTCAGTTTCTGTTACCTAATTCACTTCTTTCCAATCCATTCTTTGGTCTTAAAGTGGTCCACCCGAACCATCAGTATGACTAAATGGTCACAGTCGGTGATTGTGAACGATGGTCATCCACAAGGATGGTGACCACTGATCATAATCAGTGATCGTGATCGGTAGTCATAGTCAGTGACAGTGACCAAAAACTATAAGTGGTGATCGTGGACGACGATCACAGCCGGTGAAGGTGACTGATGGTCATGACCGGTCACTTTCCATCGCACCGTTGTATAGTATTTGGCGGTCAGTTATAAGGCTTTCCTTACCCGTCCCGCATGTACACATGGTGTGAATAGATGCGATTGGTCAGGATTTTTCTTGACTACTTCACCACAGAAACTTCGGCTGATTACTAGTGGGCAATATGCCATGTCCGAGGATACTTCCAGACATACGGACTACGGTCAGCACTCACCTTTTTCACTGATAGAGAGCTTGCGCTGTTAGCTCTCGCAAAATGCAGAAGTCTATAAACCTTGACAATTATCATCAGTTTGAAACCGCTGCCGGTACTGTAGATGCGCAGCACGCAGACCTGCTACTGCATTTTCTACCATCACCAGTAAGAACATCGGTCCAAGTTGCATATTTGCGATGGCGCGCTGCTTACATTTGCTGCGCAAGAACATCAATCTGACTTTCGCAAGAAAGGCGAACTACTGAATACACCAGAAGAGATCACCTGCAACTTCATAATTGTCAGAAAGTCACGAGAGGAAACGATCTACTTATCATGTAACTTACATGCTGACACTGAAATTCATATCTGAAGAGTAGCATGTTCACGTGACGTCGTAATGTGGCCATAGTGGTGCTTGTCACGAAGGAAATCAGCGACAAATATCTCCTCGTACACAAGCCAAGTTTGCTCAACGTAGCGCATAGAGGCTGCAGGTAAGGTGGCGTGCATTGAAGACAATTGCGCTGCTAAATCTTCTTTAATTGTGTGGCAGCAACCAGTCCGTTCCAAGCTCTGTAAAAAAATCTTAGGTCGCTGGTGTGTCAAAGTTGTCCTTTCCTTTGCTAAATTGTTTTGCTGATACGTTAGCGGCGTAGCAAGAAATTCGCGTTGTAAAACATCTCGTCTATTGCGTAACAGACTGTTAGCTCTTACCATTAGGCTTGTTGACATCCATCATGGCCTATCTTGTGCCCATGCTTTTTGTCACGAGGTAAACTACTGTCAGTCAATGATTTTGATCAACTAGCCAACGCCGACGGATGTCGAAATTGAGACTACCCCATTTTTTAATCCAGACAGCATTGAGGTGGATCGCAGATGAGTATTTCGATGCTCCAAATATTGCAAACGCATGCCACTTTACCATGTTTTGGCAGTCCCGGAGGCCGGCATTTCTGATCCTGTGCGGGTGCAGACGCGTGGTAGGCCAACGTGGTCAGCACAGGGACTTTTATCCCATTTGAGCATGTGATGCTGCTTTGGATGCTCCAGTGAAGCACCAAAGATGTCGGATCTACCAAGCAAAAGGCCATAATGCTCGCATCTATCATCAACCAGTATCAGCACCAGCAGTAGCTAGTTTTACTGTCAACAGTAGATGTTGAAGTCCGAAATTAGCAGAATCCTTGGAAGACAACATAGCCCTCCAGCTGTGCAAGTTGCTGGGGAGTGCAAGGCTGTCCATTGTGGCTTAATGAATAGTAAAGTGGTTGAACTGGAAGTGCAAGGTGGTTGTCCTACAAGTGTTGAATAATAACGTTTGGTTTGGCTTCTGACTAATCAGAGGCTTTAATTTGAGAGGGTGGGGGTTGGCTGGCAAAAAAAGTGGGGGATGAATATCAAATCCCTTGCTTATTTATGATTTATATTCACCTCTGATCAATTTTAAGCCAATTACATGCGTGTGCCACAACAGTGAGTTAGCCAAGGAGTGACGGATGTCATGCTAACCGACCTGTAAGGGGGGAAAGGCTAGATCGCACTTAGTACGTTTAAGGTGCACCTCGCCGCGTTGTTTACAGACACACACACACCGATAAGTGCGATTAAAAAGCTCGGCAATCAACCTTGTCCACAGTCACTAATAGCTTGACACTTGGGGCTCGCAATGAAGCACAATGCAACCGAATAAGCATTTGATGATGATACTTCGCAGTACACTCGGCATCGTGAAAAACGTGTTTGGCACACACACATCATCATCCAGTCGATGACTGAATAACAGAAAACCACACACCTAGTTGGGGGTATCTGAGGTGATTCAGCTTTCAGATTGCAAGGTGGACGGATGCATGACAACTCGATTTTGCTGATTACTTTGTCGGGTTAAGAAGGATCAATCAAGGCTATCGACCGATAGCTACTGAGGTTTCGACAGCACTGAGAAGTACCACCAGCTACACGAGTCTCTTGCCTCCGCGTGTAAACTCTTCATCACAGCGCCGTCGAATGAGTCGACGGGTGCGTGGAATGGTGACCGCCGTGAGCAGAGTCTCCGTGAGTGGGGCCGCCAAGTCCATGGGATCCAACAGCTCCGCCTTGAAGGTGCGTGCCGATGGGCCCACCACCGGAAACGTGGTCTCCGTGGGTAGGTCCACCGTAAGCGGGGGATCCAACAGCTCCACCTTGAAGGTGCGTTCCAACTGGTCCGCCGCCATGAACGTGGTCTACATGAGTAGGTCCGCCCTGAAAGTGCGTTCCAGTCGGCCCACCATGACCGAGCTCGCCATGGCCATGAGATCCATGGGTCGGACTCGTCTTATCGCCCTTGAGCTTGTCCTTGACATCGTGGATCGCCTCCTTCGCCCGCTCCATGATCGAAGGCGACAGCGCCTTCTCGGCCGCTGAAATCTGATGGTCCAGTGCTTTAGTATTGAAGTTCTCACGGAGATTCTTCTGCACCAGCCCCTCCACAGTCTCTGTCGTTCCCATGATACCACCGCCGTTCTTATCAGCGTGGCTCAAGAGACCTCCTCCGTGGTGTCCCTCGTTCTTGTCCCCAAAGAGTCCCCCGTGCTTCTTGTCCTCATGTTTTTCGTGCTTGTCCTTGTCGTGATGCCCGCCAATCATCGTGTCGATCGTGCCCTTGATCCCCTTCGACTGTCCATTCTCCTTGTCATAGTTGCGAGCAGTTGTCGTCAACGCTTCCATGACCCGTGACGTCTCATTCATTGCATGGCGAGCTGAAGCCACCTCCGACTTGGAAGGTTTGGGGCTATGACTGATCTGGTGAGCCACGTGCTTGAGCTCATTTGCCGTATCCTTGGCCAAGCGCATGTCGCTGCGCAGGTACGACGTGGCCGAGTGGGTGAAGATGTTGCCATTGCGGTGGTCGTACTCGGACAATTGTTTCTTCAACAGACGGAGACAAACGGCAGTGTCACCTGCCGTTTGGTTCAAAGCGAGCTCCAGCTTGGAGAACTCCTCTTCGACAGTGGCGTGGTGGTCGCTAGACTTGACCATGTTGCGGGGAAATGGTAGGGTGGAGGTCGCTTGGGTTGGGTAGTGGCTTGTGGACTTGGAGTCACGATGCGAAATGAACAGACTGGAGACGGACTGATCGAGTGCGAGTCGGGATTTATGTGCACGACCTTCAGGAGGAGGGAACGGGGGGGGTGGCAGGTGTTCCTTGACGAAGATCCAGCCGAATCCGAAGAAGGATATCTGATTGAAACGCTCTTTTCAACGATATCTCGACTTCTGAAGCCATCGTGACGCTTCGTGACTTGCGGTTTTGTTGAAGTTGAGTGACGGATGTCATTTGAAAAACGATTCGATGATGAACAGATGGATTGAGTGAGGCGAACGTGGAAGGCATCAGTTGCGCGACAGGAACTGAGTGGGCTTTTGTCGCGGACGTGTCGCACACGAACGAAACCGCTTTTCTCGTTAGTTAGTGCAGGTAGGACAGCGGTTGTTTAACGAGGGACACAAGCACGAGGTTGGCGTGTTAGTAGGTGCGAGTACTGTATGGAAGGTATACGAAACCAAAAGTGCGTTAGAGTAACGAGAGGCACTCACACAGAGTGATCGCTGCAACACCTCCAAGTCGTGTACGCAGAGTTGTGTATGGGATGTGAAGGATAGTGCTGCAGGGTGGGTGGCGCGTGCCAGAGCCGACCCAAGTTGTTAAAATCGAGACGCTATCAGATTTGAGACCTGACCTGGCTGCAGTGCATAGCAGTGCAGTGCACACTCGTTGCCGTGCGTGGGTAAGATTAGTGAGTTCTAGTATTAGCAACATGACGGACACAAACGTTTGACTCGAGGTATCACCGGCATTGGTGCCGCCAACGTAAGTGGAGGCAAGAAGTATCACGATGATGAAGTCATCTATGTATGTTTGCGTTAGGTCTCAAGCGTCAAATCGAAATGCATCTGGAGCTCCAGGTTCAGAAGAAGGAGTGGAGTGGTGTGTCTCAACGTACTGATTTTGTAGTTTGTCATTGTCATGCGTCAAAATTTCAGCTGCATCAAGTCCCTTGTCACTCGTTCGTGGAACGTATCGACAAGTACGCTCCCCAAAAAAGATCATTTCGTAGATTCTTTCGGCAAGTGGGCTCCCAACAAGGAAACCAGTTGCCGAGAGGCTAGCGCTGCATCTGATTTGCTCTTGACGGCTTTGCAAAATAGCTTCCACGTCAAGTAAGTCGTTTTCAATGGAGAGAGAAAGTGAGGTCCACAACGTCTATTACCACGTTCTTCCTACGCGCGAGACCTCTGGAAAATCCTAAACCAGGAATCGAGCGCCAACGCTCCCAGTGGCTTGTCGTGACCAGTCAGTAGTCCCCTGCAAACTAGATGATCATCAGCTTATCGGACAAGCTACTCGATGCAAGCATGGCGAGCTTGCCTCTCGTGTGGCTGTCTTTGTCTACAGTATTCGCGACCGCTCGTAGCTCCCGGAGCACGTCTCCCATGGTTACTCTGTCCTACTCTGGCTGTGTTGACAGCAAACATCAGTGCAGTCCTGCCCCTCCGTAGTCCTGTCCATCTGTAGTCTTGTCTGGCAGACCTCAGTAGTTGAGTGCTATGTGCACAGCCATTCTTGCTCGGCCTTTGGTGCATCATCCTAGCAGCTGTCCGCAAAGACTCACTGCCGGTAAAACAACCACATAACATGTCAGCTAGCGCAAGCTGTCAGAAAAAATTGCCGCGTCCGCTAGCGCATCGCCTACTATTTGGTCCAGTGGCTCACCACTTGTACCATAGGGCTCCCTGCAAACCAAGTCGTTTTTGCAAATGGTAGAATAAAGCTAGTCGTCTCCGGTTTGCTCAGGCGCCTGCGCGACAGGCAACACTCCGAAACAGAATATAGGTCTTTTAGAGTGAGTGTTCGGCAAAATAGACCCATTTTGTCAGCAAAATTTGGTGTCCCATTGTTCCCGCAGCTTTACGCCCTTTCGATCACGTGAGCGTGTTTCTTCGACAGAAAAAGACCAGACAGATGGCGTCGACGAATTGTACGATACACAACAAACTTGTTGTTTCGTTCATCTAGCGGCACTGACAACCACGATGCCCTGCGATCTTGTCCGTCTTGTACACATGTGGTCTGCATCGAGCGGATTCCACCAGCAGAGAACAGGGACGAAAGGATCAGCGACGCTGCAACGTCCGAGCTGGACTGGAATACTGCGCACCCAGCTCGAGATCGCAACATCGACACAAAATGCCAGTATTTCGCTGCGACACCTACTGGTTTTGGTCGCCGATGGCTGGTGACGGCGTCAACATCATGTCGTCTCGTAACGAACCAGATGTGGGCAGGCAGTCAGGCATCAGCATCATCTCACGGAGCAAATAAATGTGCCGCGCGTGCGCCGGGAATCTTCCTAAGACGCGTCACATTTGCATGCGATACGTCCGGACTTCGCACCTCGGTACGTGCGGCACTTGCACTTGCCACTTGACTGGTCGTAGGTTGACTTCTTAAGTTCGGCAGCGCAATCGGACGACAGCTGGTCGTGGAACAACTTTATGACCAGTCACGTCCAATGCATGAGAGAATCCGTGCATATGATTGGCCGAATAGCCGTCAAGAAGACCCGTGACAGGGTCTGCCACTTACTGTCCGTTTCGACGAAGTGACGATAACGTCTCGCCGCATATGATTAACGCCGTTTTATGGATCCGTAACAGCAGAAGATACGTATGTAAAGGCTGATGCGACTGCACGGTATCTGCTTGATTGAACCGTTGATCGATCGATCGATAGACATGTTGATAGATAGGTACATTGGTAGATGGATCGATAGACCGAGCAAGACCTTGCGTCTCCATTGACCGAGACAAGAGCATCGAATAGAACAAGCACTTTCGACTTTGCCTTGCTCTCCGCACCCCCTCCAGCAGCAGCAGCAGCGAGTCCCTCACAAGCGACTTGACACCTTCACAAACCCATGATCGAGTCGAGTGCCAAGAAACCTCATGACAGCGGCGAAGTGCGTCCGTTGCTCGAAACTCGAGCCGCGCCGCTAATTCCCTCTCCTACCGGCCGCCACATCAGTCGATGGAGTGTGCTCGCCATCGTCTCGACCTTGATGTTGACTGCAGCTGTCTTCGGTGTCTTCAAGCCGGGCATCTCGACGATGCGAAGTACCACGACCGTGCCCCCGGACGCCAAGTTCGACCTCTTCACGCCAATTTTCAACGCCGAAGCCCCGCCGGACGCTCTTTTCAAGCACACGGACGCCATGAAGAATTTGCTGCCTCCCAAATTCCTGGCAGCTGGAATTGTGGGCTCACGTCCTATCCCGACGAACGACTGGTGGGGCAACATCATCGCTGCCACTGCTAAAGACGCAGAGGTTGTGTATCCTGTGTGGACCAATCCGTACAGTGTCACGCCGTCCATCTTTATGGAACCTTACGGTCTCACGATGAATTACCCGTACACGACCCGGTTGTTCGGTGGAGGCTTGACTGGCAACGGTGACGCCGAAGCGTACTATCTCCACGGTCAAGTGCCCGAGTTCACCTTCTCCGCGACCGAGTTCTCCAACTCGTCCCTCCCGGTCTTCGAGGTGTTCGAATGGGACGATCTCAGCGTGCAGCTCCGTTTTCTGTCCCGCGAGGACCCAACGAAGAAGTTCGAGGCAACTCTTGCAAGCGGCATGGCGTTCGTCACTTCGCACTACGCGGGTCTGACGCCGCGTTTCGAGACGCTGTACACTATCGTGACAATCAACAGCTTGGACGCCACAGAGACCCTCGGCCGTGCTCTTACGAACAACCGCTTTGTGCTGCAATTCAGCAACAGTGCCACCTGGACGCTGTACTTCTCGAGCGAAGTCAAACTTTACTTTGACGGCCACTCAATGCTGGACATGAAGCAGCCGTTCACCGGGAGTGCTCGTGTTGCTCTGATCCCTGATGCATCAGCACAAGAGCAGCGTATCTTTGACGAAACTGCGAGCTGCGTCCTCGATGGCGGTCGCGTGGAAGCTCACAATGAAAACGCTTACGCGTACAAGTGGAAGACCAGCGGAGATTGCACGAACGGGATGCTGCACTACGCCCAGGTCCACCACGTGGATACGCTGGACCGGAGGTATGCCGTCGAGGCTCAAGGTGTTGCTGCTCATTCCACAACACGAGGACTGATGCAGGGAGTGGTGACGACGTCGTCTCCGCCCGAGTGGCGCCTTGTAGAAACCGTGGAGTTCCCGGTCGACTTCTACCCGTCACGCAAACCGGACCCGAAACACGTCGAGATGCACGAGATGAAGAAGAACTTGATCGCTGACATCGACTCCCAGTGGACGATCGCTCTGGGCCAGAGCTACTACTTCAACGGTAAAGCTGCACAAAAGTACGCGTCGCTCTGTCTCATGGCTGGAGACCCGTCGATCGTCGGGAAAGACGACACGGCGCTGCTTTCGCACTGCATGACGAAGCTCGAAGGACTTCTCATGCCGTTCCTGAACAACACGTGGACGAACGCCTTGAACTACGACACGGTCTACCGAGGCGTGGTGAGCTCGCAGGGGTTCACCCTGAACGACCCGAACGTTGATTTTGGCAACACCATGTACAACGATCACCACTACCACTACGGCTACTGGGTTGTTACTGCCGCTATTATCAACAAGCTGGACCCCACTTGGTCGGGAATTCCAGAACTTAACCGCATGGCAGGCTTCTTGATCCGGGACGTCGCGAACCCGTCGGACGCGGACCCGTACTTCCCCAAGTTCCGGAGTCTCGATTGGTTCCGAGGTCACTCGTACTCGCACGGCATCACGGCACTCGCAGACGGCAAGGACCAAGAAAGCACGTCGGAAGACATGAACTTCTTCTACGGCATGACGCTCATGGGCAAAGTGACTGGTGACAAGCACCTCGAAACGGTTGGGAAGCTCATGGTCAAGCTCAATGCCCGCGCGATCCAGACGTACTTCCTCATTGAAGACGGCAATCGAGCTCACCCGGACCGCTACCGGGACAACAAGGTCATGGGCATCCTCTTTGACAACAAGGTAAACTACGCCACGTGGTTCAGCGGTAAAAAATACGCAATCCATGGTATTCAAATGCTTCCGGCGACTGCTGTCACGGAGTATGTGCGGACGTACGATTTCGTCTCCCAAGAATGGGACCAGGTTCTGTCTCGGGAGCCTATTGTACAGGAGGATGAGCAGACGAACCCCTGGCTCTCACTACTCTACATGAACTACGCGACGATCGACAAGGACTTTGCGCTGACAAAATTGAGAAACGTCACGATGGACGACGGTCTCTCACGCTCGTGGGCCATGTACATTGCAGCTACGCGGCCATAGACTTGTACACATAGCCGACTTGGTATGCTACGGGAGGGTAGCGATACTAAGAAATGAATAGGTCATAACGACATCGTCGTGTGCGAGTTGGCGTGACGATGCATTCATCGCAATAAATTACCATTTCATGATTTTTGTGGTGTGACATGATCCGTTGAGAAATAATTTACACTGCATCGTACCGAACGATGCGTACTGTGAGCAAAGAAAAGTTGTACGGATGAAGTGTTTTAACGGGTGATTGATGCCCGCCAGCGTCGTTATGTGTCCACGTACTGAGACACTTTCGTCGACCAAGGATTTGTGATCGTACAATTTCTATTGCATCAGCGATTTTGAGGGCGGGTTCAAATTCGAGAGCAACCTCAAAACTTTTGTTCGAGCTCGAAAAAGGACTAAAGCTTGGAAAGTATGGCTTTTTATACAGATTCCCCACGAGGATCTAACGTTATAATGGATTAGGATTCCGCACATTATGCAGAGGCAAAATGTACAGATCGGAGACTACACTAAGAAGCTACTAGTAGTACGGTAGTACAAGCAGTATCCGGGATGGAGACCGCCTGGTAGTTGCGCCATTCGTCCCTGATTCTTTGATGGAGAAAAAACGGAGATCACCCCCAGTATTTTCATAGTAAGAGCATAAACGATAGAGGTTAAGGGATCTTTCGGATGCAAACTCATTGATCGGTTCGTAGTATGGAATGAATGGTGAATACATGATAGTCGGCCTACTGTAGCTTCTGATATTGATTAAGTCTGGAGAGCACCGTCTGTAGAAAGTCGGCCCGTCGAGCGAGTAGTTGACGCTTTACATCTGATGATCACAATGTCTGATACGATTGAAGGATATCCAGAGATAACACTTGTCGAACAACCCGTGAATAAATAGAGCGAGAAAAACCTGGTTGAAGGCGGCAGACCAAGGAACGTCATCGATCAGCGATTTCCTGACAAGAAAGTCCTAGCTATACGGTGTGCTATCTACTTTAACCTAGAATGAAAACAGTGCGAAAAGCAAATTTCCTAGTCATTTTTACGCTCTGCCGATGCCATTTCTCAAGGAGTCTACGGGCGGCGATAATTTGGGCTGTTGAAGCGATGTCGTTTTACACATGACTCACTCAGTTTCAATC